GGGGGGGAGTTGCACAAAATTTTCAGACAATCTGGTTGAGGCTCACATGCAGGTTTATATTAATCTATGTTGAATAAAAGTCGAGATATTTGAGTTTGAAGGAGGTCAGGATCGCCTGGTTTCAGAGGTAAAATAAGTAAGAAAATGTCCGCCAAAGTTTGGTAATTTCCTTAGCCTGAGAGTCCTTGAAAACTGAAAATTTACATTTTCATTTTTTGTACCTTTCATCAATGTTTTTCAGTAAAATCCACACAGAAATATGTTTTTAAATGGACATAAAAAGGGTTGAGCCAAAAAAAGAAAATTAGAAAAAAATTGCCCATCATCCCAAAAAGTTTTGTTTTCTATGATTTCATTATTTTGACGAGCACCTGATTTCACCAACATGCCTCACATTTTAAGATTATTTTTAAAATATTGTATTAAGTTCACTTTTTACTGTCTATTGGATAGCTTGCCATGAGAAATTGTGGTTATTTTTACCCGCAACACTCTCATGTACTCATACTCAGTCTGTGTGTGTGTGTGGGAGCAGCTCTTCTAAAATTGTTAATTTTGTAGATGACCATGAAACAAAACATCAATGAATCTGCTGTATGGGTAAAGAAAAATTGTTTAAATCTCACCACCTCCCTTCATGTCTGTTTTAGTAGAACCAAATACAAGTATTGCACGTATTAATGTTAAATATTGTAACATTTTTAGTTCAGTATGCACTCTTGACATCCGCATTGTCTACTTTCAGAAAGAAAATGCTTCTGCTTTTGAGATTTTGTCTCACTGGCATCCCAACTTGACCATCAACCTACTGGATGATCACTCACCTTGGATTCCAGGCTCTGTGCCACAACCACTAGATGAGTGTGAGTGCAATCTTTGAAGGAGAAATATTTTGGTTGTGATCGTGTTATTCGAAGTAAAACTGGAAATTTTTAAGGCTATCCATGGCCACTTGTCTGATAATTTGTTATTCTTTGATCCTCCAAGTGTTGCTAGCGAATTGCCTTTGGTGTCACAGAAATGATATGGTTTCACCTTTTGTGAGGCATCATGGTGAAATCAGGCGCTCACCAAAATGACAGAATCAAAGAAACCAGCATCTTTCTGCTGGTTTGGCATTTTTTATTCAGCAATGCCAATCGCCCGCTTCGCCTTGGGCTGGAAATGGGCCTCCGCGCCATGGGTAATTTTTGGGCCGCTCGGAATCAGAAGTGACTCTCTTCTAAGTATAGTTACGGGAAAACTCCTGGACGAAAATAAATGAAACTCGGCAACCAACCAGAGGAAAGGTTAAACTAACGACATGCCAGCGTACAATCCCGAAGGATTACTAGAACCGGAGATATTGTGGTGTTTGTGTGAATTTCCTCTGCGGTTCAAAAACTAAGCAGAGGCGCCCCACATTTCTTCTTTATTGCTGTAAAATTTCAGATCTCTGCGTTTAGTAGATTTTACGTACCAACTTAAAATTACCACCCATCCATTGATAAAATGCTAGAGCTGGATACTAGATCATGCATTCCAAACGCGAGGTGCCGGCATGCAAGAGGCGCGTGATCGCTAGGCGGCATGTGATTGGCTGCCTATAACTAAATAGGTCACCGATGACTACATCGAGGGTTTTCCCGATAGCGCTTTACTGAGTTTTAGAAGGGGTGATCACGTCGCGGTAAAAGCGATGTCACGCAATTCAACAAATTTCACTCAAATATCACTCTTTAAGATCCAAAGTAATAAAGACATCGAAAAAGTGATGACATGAAGTTTCATTCATATGCTCCAATTCATTACTGAGTTATGAACAGTTTTTCCTCAAAATACATCAAAACATGTCCCACATTTTGGCGATTTTTTCCTATATGAAGGTCCTCCAACATTTTGCAAACAAAAATCCCAGTAACTTTTTTATTTATCCATGGATTTTTAAAATTCAAAAACCATAGTTCAGAATTTACTCTATTTTCATTTAAGCCCATTTTTAAGCAATTTGGATGAAAATTTAATTTTTCATTGTCATTGCTATTTTATTGAATTTTTGTTTTCTGGCATAACACCTTTTATATCCATTTAAAAACACATTTCTTTGTGGATTTTACTGAAGAACCATTGATTAAATGCACAAAAAATGTAAATTTTCTGTTTCCGTGTACTCTCAAGCTATGGAAGTCACCAAACTTTGGCGGCCATTGTCTTGCTAATTTTACCTCTAAAACCAGGCGACCCCTACCTCCTTAAATCACAAATATCTAAATTTCTGTTAAAGATATTCAGGTGTTTTGGGGTTTTTTTTTCATTGAAAGCAAGACAAATGAAAAAGCTTTAATATGATATTAATAAGTTCATATGCCCAAAAGCTGATGTGCACCTGATTCCACTGCGTTGTGGCATGTTGGAAAATACTTGAGAACAGGACAACCAAGCAAGTAAAAGCCATAAAGCTACACATTTTCAGACAGTAGAATGTAGGCCTACATAGGAAGTGAAGCTCATTCGTGAAAGAGAACCTTTAGTGATGTAAAAAAGAAGTGGGATAAACAATTCAAAATTGTGGCGCAAGTTACAACCGATCAAAATTGCCATGACATCACAGAATGAAACTTACGGCCGTTTTAATCAGCTCTTGACACTTGGAGGATTACGTTTGTTGTAGAGAAGTAGGTTTTTGAATAAAATCTCCTGTTGTTTATGTGGCTGATTCGAACTTCTGCTCGATGGACTGACAATATTGAAGCATATCGTGCCGCTCATGTGCAAGATTCTGATGGCTTTGTGCCACGTTAGGGTCGGTGCTCTTTTTCTTTTCTCTTTTTTTCAAGTCACTGCAGCAATATCCTTAAAGTGTGGGAATTTGAACATTCAACCTGACCTCTTAAAAGTATGGTTCCATGCTCAAGTTGTAGTGCCTGTTTTGGAAAATTGTTTGCCATATTATTTGCTATAATCATGGGTCTCAATAGTCCGCTATTTAGCGGATTTCCGCTACCGCCATTTCCTCCGCTAAACTCCGCTACCGCGACAGCGGGCCAATTCGAAAGAGAGTTGTTTGGAGCAGGGTGACTGCCTGGCCCCGGGAATTTTAAAAAAATTGCCGCGATCCGGGAAAATACTTAAAAGATCTCGAATATTTGAAAACGAAACCCAATACGTCTTTAAATTCATTTCTGCCGGTCGTGATTGTGATATTAATTCGGCTCTGAGAGTACGTTTCACGCGAACTGGCGGTTTTGGCGGCAAGCGGAATTGCGTCACCAAGGCTCGAATGGAAACTCAAGATCTACTTTCGCTTTCATTACCGCCCAGATATTTCTCAGTAATTGTCTGATAATGCAACATTTATTGTAACTCTGCTTTGAGTTTGAGCATTAATTTTTGTCTTTCACGTTATATATATATATATATATACAGTGGAATCCTGTTATAATGAGAGGTAGGGGACCGGTGCGAAATGTCCGTTATAGCAGGATTCTCGTTACAAGGGATCCAGTAATACATACAAGGGAAATAGTAAAGTAGGCCTAATCTATGAGTTTGGCGTTCTGTTTATTCCTTTTTGTATTTCCCCTGATGATGATTTGTTCAACATGATCTCTAGATCTTACTTGATGAAAAATCGAATCAGGTTTCTTTCTCTAGCACTAGCAATGTTGACAGCTCGGCGTTGGCGATCAGAAAGAAGGGGCTCTGGCTCTAGTCTAACTCGCCCGCTGTGTTGTCCCCCACCACACCACACCCTGTGGTGCGTTGCGTCTGCTTGCGCACGTCACACATTCACTACATCTATCACAGCATTGTGACCTCTCCATCCCACTCCAGAGAAGTGAGAGGCACGGTATGCCTAGATAATCTAGACTGGGCTGGCCTAACACGCGAAGCGTTTTGCTTGTCTGCGCATGCCACACCCTCCCCACCCATTCGCTCCGGCCTTCATTGTTGGTTCACGTGGGCTCTCCCATTCTTTGTTTCGCTAGATCACCAATAACTTTCTCAACTGGCAAGGTTTTATATCATGTTTAATTGGTCTGTGCGCTGTGCACAGCAGCAGCAATATTCCGTTAAAAGCGACTCGCGTGACTGTCTGATTGCGCAATAGCAGTATTTTATTTACAAAGATAAAGAAGGAGAAAAAACGGGGTTTTAGAATAGTGTCTTTATAACAGACTTCTCGTTGTTTCAGGACTCGTTATAAGTGGACTCCACTGTATATATATTGATAGTCGATTTTCTGGTTTTAGGCTCAAAACAAGATTCATTTTTATATAGTTTATATATACAGGCAAATATGATGAAGGGAAAATATAAATAAGTCGCACAAGACCCCAGGCGCCACCACTTTCTGTATGAAATCAAGATTGTAAATATTTGGTATGTGACTCTTACTTGAAATTATCTCCCAAGCCAAACCCTCAAATTGGTGTGAAATAACCTTGCTGTGATAAATTGATGGTATTTATTTCAGCATTCTAGGATTCAACAGTATGATAATAATAGGTGTTTCGCGAAAATGGGCTTCTGTGGCGATCACCCGGAAAGGTCCTCCTTTTTTAGAATTCTGAGTTGAGACCCATGTATAATGTTTTATATATACAGACGCTCGTTTATATTTGTGGTTGTATTTTTTTCTCTAGATATTGACTTTGTACCTGGATCCAACAAGTACTACCCTATCGTCTATCTGAATGACTACTGGAACTTGAATGCTGATTACATGCCCATCAATGACACAACCAAGTATGAGCCCTCCTCATATCTAAGATAATTAAATTTCTTCTCTTTGTTTTGTTTTTTAATCTTTTATTTATAATGCGCTCTGCTGGCAGTTTAGAAATGTGGAAATCTGTTACTCTATGTGGATGTCAAAGGTCATTACACATTTGTGTGCATGACTCTTTACCTGACTGTGTGTGTGTGCGTGTGTGAGAGAGAGAGAGAGAGCACTACTTTAGGATGCAAATGTTAATGATTTTGGTAAGTGCTATGTTTATTGTGATAATTTTGTTGTATCGTAAATATATTTTTCTAACAAGGCTCATTTGTGATTCTCAAGCAAGTACATTAGATACTTAAAGTGCACTCTATTTAAATGGAAGAAAGGGTAGGCTACTGATGAAAATACAGATGTAATTTAATATGTTTCTATTACAAAGCCTACAGTTTGTGGTACGTTAATGTCACCTTGGATGTCATTACTCACTGCTTAGTTTTTCAAATGTTTTGAGTGGGCGGTTGGCGGGTGCTCTGGTGTGGTTTGTTTCTTCTTTCCTATCAAACATCTATCGTCCTTATCTTTCCTTCTTCTTTTTTATGTTTGTTACTCCTCTTATCTTCTCTGGCTCTCAAATGACGTTATGCAGTTGCGAGCGCCGTAAAACCTCTACTAAAACTGACAAGTTAGACCTGCATGTTTGCCGACAATCGTCTGAAATCCGACAGTCGCGACCCGACCCGCGAACCGGCCGATGCTATCGCTAGGCCCGCCTGTATCAGTCAATGTGCGTAGTGCGAGGCCTGGCCGACTGCCAGCAACCCCTTTTTCTCCCGTCGGCTTCGTTGGCACTTTCGTTTTCGTGCCGACGTCGGCGTTTCCGACATAATTGTCGGAACCTAAGTAGAAATGCGAATACGAAAAAGGACGACAACCTAAATTATCTACTTTCAGTTTAGTGCTCGAGCGGCCATTTTGAATTTCGTTTATTGACTAATTCAATTGTTCAGATCGTGTGGATTCATTCATCAAGTCCGACTCTCTTGTTCTAAAAGAATCTAGATCTAGATTTATATAGATCATTATAGACCTCAATGGAGGATTCATATTCCAATTCTATTGTGTCAAACCCTATCATAGGTTGTGCTGTAATATTAATATTGGTAAAAATAAGCAATTCATCAGGTGCGTGAATTATTTATTTATTTAGATATCTAGATCTAGAATCTAGATCTAGATCTAGATCTAGAATCTAGACTCAGTTGAGTCCCTCTGTTCGGAATCGGATGCGGATTTCGAGTTCAAGGCCTATTCAATTCCTATTCACTTGTTCTACAAGATCTAGATCTAGATTCTAGATCTAGATTTATTTAGATTACTAGATTAATATGGAGGATTCATATTCCAATTCTATTGTGTTATTGTATCAAACCCTATAGCAATGTAGATGTAAGCCATATAGATCTACAATATAGATCTATATGCTCCTTGTTTGTTTTGGAGTGTGGTTTTTTAATAAAAAATTTTTTTTTCATTTAGGACTTGTTTTGGCCTTTTTACATGAGGCCCGTTGCAGTTTCTTTTTGGGGGTAGGGTTAGGGTTAGGTCTCTTCTTTATTGTGTTTTTTGGGGTGGTCGCTCGTTACTCGGATGTCCTTCCTTATGACACCCACAAAGGCATTTTTTTGGGGGGGGGGGGGGGGGGTGCGCAAAATTTTCAGACAATCTGGTTGAGGCTCACATGCAGGTCTAACAAGTGTTTTTACTCTTTTTATCCTAGCCGTACCCCCACGGACTCTGTACCCGTCCTGGGGCCGCCACGCCGTATGAGTTGGAAGTCAGTGCGTATAGTTCAAAGTGCTATATTTCTTACATTTACTCTAAGGTGTTAAGGAAATTTGGCAGTTAACGTTAGAAACTGAATGTAGTTTTTGTAAATGTATGTGGTTAGGAAATACACCAATAGCACAATGTAGATTTTGAGGTGTATTCCACCCTCGAACTTGACCCTGATTGCCGCGCCCACGACGTCACACTGGATTTTATAGATCTAGATCTAGCCCTACCCATCGAACTCGAATTCCAGTATTGACCGGGACCCCTTCACCATGATCTGAATCGCTATTAGATGAGTCTAAGTCATGTTTCTTATCATCCACAACGGAATTTACGGCACTTATTTCAGAGTCACTATTATCAAATTAGTATCATTATTCCCCCTCACAACCCAGCGCAACTTCAAAAAGTACTTCGTCGGTCGTGAATGTGTGTTTTCGAGACATCTTTCAAGCTTCTACACCCATCAAAATCAAAGAAACCACTGTTCATTGGAAAATTAAAATATTCAGACAGAGCTAGCATCGCCGTATTTGCGTATTTTGGTAATTACAAGCAGAACTAGCTTCTTTGACGAGACCGTATCGCTGTTCCGAGAATACTCGTAGCCCGGACTGGTCCTCGTTAAGAGTATACTCGTAGCCCGGATAAAAAGAGTTAAAACCTTCCCATATTGACCACAAGGTGGAAAAAACCCTTTGTGTGTTAAAGAATATGTATCTATATGGTGGCATCTTGGTGAAGAGAGGTGCTCATCAAAATAATGAAGTTGAAGATACCAACAATTTTTTAACCCTCATCCTGCGGGAGCCGGGTTTATGTCGCCCGATAAGCCTATTTCGGCGCCTCGCCTACGTTCTGGTCCCGAATCAGTGTAGCCTTTGGATCAGCGCACGCGCAGCGCGCATCCTCTTACGTGTCATTCGGGTCCCGAGTCGGATCCCCATTCACGTAGGTCAAGTGTGTGTGCATCAGTCTGCTTGCGTTTGTGTGCATTTGTGGCCTTCTTCTAGAACCGCCTGCGTTAGTTCGTAATCGAGGCATACGTCTTATTCAAAACATGCCAAGTTGGTAGCTCTAGATGTTCGTCCAATGAAATTATAGAAGAAATTGACCTACTTAGACACGAGGAGCTCGAAAGGATAGTCAGGAAACAAGACTTCCATTTTTCTATACAAAATATTTCAAATGAGCTTGATTTTGTATGAAATGATACTACCTGATTAAAAAAAAGCTTGTTTGATAGTTTTGAATACCATTGTGCAGGTACAAAGAACAATTTGAGTGTAAAACATTCAGAAATTGATCTAAATTATCCCCTTTCGAACCTCAGGTCATTCATAACAACAAGAGCGTCCAGAAAGGTTATTCGAATGGACGTAACTACTCATAATGTCTTATCAGCTTGTGAGAGGGGGTTATTCATGTGTTTGCAACACTATATAAATAGAAAACTATGAAAGATAGAGCGTTATTTTCATCATCGGTTAACACACTCCCGCGGTATTCATGGCGAAAACACACGTTTCCTGGCGCGCGCGCTGTACACCAACAGTACTCACTGAGTGACCCCGGCGGCCTGCCCGGCACGGCCGACGTAATCAGTTGCTGATAGATGCGCATCTGGGCACAGACGCAGGATAAGAGTTAAAGTAAGAGTTTTACGCCGCTAGCAACACAATATAATGGTCATATAAGCGCAGAAGATTAGAGGTGGAACAAAGAGAGGAACAAATGCGAAAGAGGAGAGATCAGGATGATAGATGTTTGATAAGAAAGAAGGAGCAAACCACACCAGAGCACCTACCAACCGCCCATCGACTTTTTTCCAGCAGTTGGGAAATTGTTATTGACTATTTTTTTTGGCTTAACACCTTTTATATTTCTTTGAAGAAGGACATGTTTTTGTGTGAATTTTACTGAAAAGCGTAGATGAAAGGCACAAAAATGTAAATTTGCAGTTTCCAAAGACACTTGAGCTTGGAGTTTGGAGGTCATCATACTTTGGTGGCCATTTTCTCTATAATTTTACCTCTTACATCAGGGACACCCCCCACCCCTCCTCGTTCTGTTGCAAATATCTCAACTTGTTTTCGAGACGATGGGGTTTTTTTTCTTTTACATCACAACCAAGATAAATAAACAAACTTTAAAATTATGCCAATAACTCCCTTGTGTGTCTAAAAATTGACGAGCACTTGATTTCAACTTGTCGTGACTAGCTTACAATTTAAATTACTTATTTTTTCTTGTTCCAGACTCCTAAACCTGACAGTGACATACACTCCCATGTCGTTGTTCAAGTGGCAGCTCTATGCTGCTCAGGGCATGCGCAACAAGTGGGTCAATATGCTCGGCTCTGAGGCTGGAGATGATGAGGAGGATCAAGATTCTCTCAAGGTGAGCAAAGTTTAAAGATTTCTTTTGTTTCTTTGCTTTTACTTGAAAGTCAGAATGCTTTCATCAGTAAAAATCTGTTTTTATTGTTGGGTTATATTATGTTGATTTGGTGTTTTAAACTTAGATGTGCTGCAAATGTTTTGTAATAGCCTGAATGAGAAAATTGATTTACTGTTGTCTCATTAAATTTCAGATGGCTTTCTTGGAAACAAGTCCTTATTTGCTGGGGATGACAATTGTTGTGTCCATATTGCACAGTGTGTTTGAATTCCTTGCTTTCAAGAATGGTGAGTAGTTCAGAAAAGTTTGTTTCCTGGCACCTCTTTATGTTCTTTATGGCAGTGTTATAACTGACAGAGAAAACCCTTTGTGATGGAGAAAAAGATATAAGAAAGAATCGTGTAAGGAGTTTTGTATAGTGTCTTATTCTGTGGAGGGGTCCACGCTGCTAAAAAGATATTAAGCACAGTCTTGACATCTACTATCTGGCTCATAATCGTGAGGTTGCGGGATCTGGAGCTGGGGCCTAAGGCCTGACGTTGTGTCCATGGGGAAGGCACTTTACACGAATTTAAAGGTCTTGTCAGTATTTTAATTTCTTAGCACCTCTAAAATGGCAACTCGCACTGTATGCTTCCCAGGAACTTGAAATTGTTTCAGAATGCAATCAGGTCTATCGGGTAATATTATAGATTGTAAAGCGCATAGAAATTGCTGTTGAGCGGGAATTTGGGCAATACAAATGCTATCTAGTATTATAATTATTAGACTTGCGTGTTTGCCGACAATCGCGATCCGACCCGCGAGCCGGCCGATGCTATCGCTAGGCCCACCTGTGTCAGTCAATGTGCGTAGTGCGAGGCCTGGCCGACTGCCAGCGCCCCCCTTTTCTCCCGTCGGCATTGTCGGCACTTTCATTTTCGTGCCGACTGCTGACGTCGGCGTTTCCGACATAATTTTTGGAATCTGAGTAGAAATGCAAATACGAAAAAGGACGACGAACTAAATTATCTACTTTCAGTTTTGTGCTCGAGCGGCCATTTTGAATTTCGTTTGTTGACTAATTCAATTGTTCAGATCGTGTGGATTCATTCAAGTCCGACTCAACTTGTTCTAATAGAATCTAGATCTAGATTTATATAGATCATTATAGACCTCAATGGAGGATTCATATTCCAATTCTCTTGTGTCAAACCCTATCATAGGTTGTGCTGTAATATTAATGTTGGTAAAAAGCATTTCATCAGTTGCGTGAATTATTTATTTATATAGAATCTAGATTTCTAGACTCAGCTGAGTCCCTCTGTTCGGAATCGGAGGCGGATTTCTAGTTCAAGGCCTATTCCTATTCTCTTGTTCTACAAGATCTAGATCTAGATTTATTTAGATTACGAGATCTAGATCTATATGTAGGATTCATATTCCAATTCTATCGTGTTATTTTATCAAACCCTAATATAGCAATGTAGATGTAGGCCTTATTATGCTCCTTGTTGGTTTTTTTTGGAGTGTGGTTTTTTAAATTTTAAAAATGTTTTCATTTTGGACTTTTGCTGGCCTTTTTACATGAGGCCCGTTGCAGGTTTTCTTTTGGGGTAGGGTTAGGGTTAGGTCTCTTCTTTATTGTGTTTGTTGGGGTGGTCGCTCGCTACTCTTAAGTCCTTCCTTATGACACCCACAAAAGCTCTTTGGGGGGGGGGGGGGTGCGCAAAATTTTCAGACAATCTGGTTGAGGCTCACATGCAGGTCTAAATTATTATTATTATTAGATAGCTTGATTGTTGTAATCATGAAATACTTTTTTGGTTGGATAGATAGGGCTACAACCCTGTATCATGTCTGTTTAGTCTGACATGAGACTGAAATGGTCACATGACTGGTGTAAACAAGAGAATAGACCAGGTTTTTTATGGAGGGTTGTATTCTGTGAGACAAGCATTTTGAATGGTGCTATCACACTCTTGTTTAACTCTTTATCTCTGAAGGGGGTAAACCCACTATGCCAGAGCCCGTTTTCGGTACTAAATCTAAAAATGGGAAAATCGTCACTAAATTGGGGATTAAATCAAAACTAGTAAATCTGTTTTGATAGATCTTCAATTTATTAATGAAATTCCAATAAAAGATACCTGTTTTCGGCAACTACCGAAAGGTAATTTGACGTCAAAGTTGTCGTAAATGAATGCACCCGAGCTGCTGTCAGCAGCTCACCGGCACAGTGGTTAAGACCGTGAGCCGCCTGGCCAGGGGCTTGCCGGAGATAGGGTTAACCGAACTATGATTGGTGCTGAAGCATTTTTCATTCTTCACCATGAATGACATATGGTAGTTTGAGGGAACCCGTGATAATGATTCTGTGTTCGAAGTCAACATTTTTGCACTCTTATGTTTCTTCCTCACAATGCCAGACATCCAGTTTTGGAAGAGTCGCAAATCCCTGGAAGGTCTGTCAGTGCGCTCGGTGTTCTTCAATGTGATCCAGTCTCTAATTGTCCTGCTCTACATCATGGACAATGAGACCAACACTGTGGTGAAGATTAGTGTCTTTGTTGGACTTTGTATTGAGATCTGGAAAATCAACAAAGTTGTCAATGCAAAGGTATTCACTTTGTGTCTTAGCAATTTACTGTACATTTTTCATGTGCTGCATTTTCTATTTGTTTACTGAAAGGACAACATATATTATAAAAATTAAAGACAGTTAATTTAAATGTAAAAAAAAAACCCTCACTAGTGCATGTTGGGAAAGTAATTAACATTAGAAATGTCTCTAGTGTCAAGACATATTCTTTTTTTTTCAATGTAAAGTTTGTTTTCTGTGAATGTTCTATTGTTGTCATCAAAAACTAATGGTCTCTACAAGAAGACAGAGCCCATTTCAATCTACATAAGTGCTCTTGTTTGAATATTCAGCTTTTGCTTTTGTAAAGTGCTCTCCTAAATATTGTTTATTATCTGCTCTGTTATCCTTCATTACCTTTGTAATGGTATATGTGCATAGGAATGAAGCTCTTGTGTTTTCGTCATTTTGACAAAAGTATCATAAATTTCATCTTTTGCTTTTGTTTGGAAATTCATGGTATCTGTTTGTTACGGCATTTGCAGCAAGAAGCGTCAACAAATGTCCCTTTAAACTGGGGTTTGTAGAAAACTTTTCTTTGGTTGATTGTTTGATTTAAGTATTTTACACCCCTTGTCATGGCTTACCTAGGCTGGGTGGAACACAACAACCGAGAGGACAGACAAAGTTACTCAATTAAAAAAATCTTCCCCCACGCATGAATCGGTTTCCTGCCTTCTGCATGAAGAGCGTATCCATTGCTTCACAAACACCGGGTTTTCCTGAGACTAGCTTTTGTTCTTTCTGCGCGATAGGGTAAAAAAGACATGGTGTTGACATAATCTCAAATTATTTTGCTTGTATCGTCAAAATTTTGTCTCGAATCTTTTTCAAGACGTGTATGTGGGAGGTTGGCGGGTGCTCTTGGTGTGGTTTGCTCTGTCTTTCCCATCAAACATCTATTGTCCTTATCTTCTCCCCCCCCCCCCCCCCCCCCTTCTTTTTTGTGTTTGTTACTCTCTTGTGACACCTCTAATCTTCGGCACTTATATGACCTTATTGTATTGCAAGTGCCGTCAAACTCAACAAAAACTAAAAGATATAATGTTAACTTTCATCTTGTAAAGACCATTTCTTCTCTTGTGTTCATGGACAGATTGACAGAGAGAACCCTATTTTTGGTTTTATACCAAGAGTCAGCTTGTCAGAAAAATCTACCTACACAGAATCTCAGACTAAAGAGTTTGATATTGTAAGTATCACATTTTTTACTTTTGCTTTTGTTTTGATTTTTTTCCTGTTCAAAACCAGCTATTCAACCATTAGGTTTGTGCAGTGAATGTTTTTATGGATTATGGTCATAACATAAGAGATTACAAATTTTGTAAATAGGCTTATAGATTTTCTTTTAAACAGTCATCTTGTTTATGCTACTGTTCACTGGTTTTCTTTGGTTTGAAGGCACAATTCTTTTAAGTAAGTCTCATTGCATGCTCATGTTTCATTATGAAGACTACTGGGGGGGGGGGGGGGGGGGAGTGAGTGTGGATAACAAACTTTGATGCCTACATTCAGTCTACTATAAGCACCATCTACTACAAGCACCATCTACTTCAAGCACCATCTACTACAAGCCGGCCCTTTGCTGGAGACTCTTAGAAAGAAATATTGACCCGATCCTAGGCAGAGCAGAGCGACCCAAAACTTTATTGGGGACCTGGAGGACCTGCAGTGAACAGCAGCCTTCACACAAGAGATGAGATGTCCATATACAGATGAATGAGGAGAAGAAGAGACTATCACAGCACACTGAGAGTACACATTTCTGAATCCCTCTTTTATATTTGACCCACATGGTGGCAAGGCTCTTCACAGACCATATCTGTTGTTTGGTGACCCTTGATCTAGAGTAATCAGTTTCTCCTTTTCAGAAGTGAAAAATTTGGAGAGAAAGTGGGTGATTCTTTTCTGTGGGTGACTTAAGTCAAAGAAAAGTTCAGTTTTTATAATATGTGTGTGTGCCTAAAGAAAGGTACCTAAAGTCGGATTTTGACCATTTTGAGTTAAGGGTTGTGCCTTATAGGAAATTCAATGCTGATCACAGTGGTTTTTGAAATTTTGAGATATCTCAAGTAGTTTTTGAGATATTGCACATTTTGTGAGTTAGGGTAGAAAGTTTAGGACACAAATAAACTTTGAAGTATACCCTAGTTTCAAAAGTATTCAAAATAAGATATTTAAAAGTCAAATCAATGAAAACCCTTTTAACACATTGTTTAAAAATGGTGGAACTATCATTTTTTTATGGAAACACTTTTTGGTATAAAAAAAGGTGATTTTTTTGGTCATTATCAGCCTGTACAAAAATGGTCTGTGGTGACTTTTGGTACCTTTCTATTGGCACACACACATGTTGTAGTTGCTTGATGATGAAATGTCTGTCTGCTGTTCCCCAGTTGGCATTCCGCTACCTGTCGTGGCTGCTGTACCCTCTCCTAGCAGGCTACATGGTCTACTCTCTTGTGTACCAAGAGCACAAAGGATGGTACTCTTGGGTGCTCAGCATGTTGTATGGTTTCCTGCTCACGTTTGGTAAGAGTGACTGATTTGGTATATTCCAAGTCTTTTGTTTCTAGTTTACTGTATTTGTTTTGTTGTTGTTTTTTTCTTTGGGGGGGGGGGGGGGCTTTTGCATGCTCCATGAATTTGTGAATGTGTAGAAATTCTTGGAGTCCAGTCGTTTGCGAAATGTTAAAAGTGTTATTTGACTATAATATATAATATTATTTTTACAGATGGGAATACCTGCCTATTAATGTAGTTTTTTTTATATATATAGTAATTTAGTAAAGTCCATCATAATTTTTTTTTTAAGGAGAGGAACAGATATCGTTTGCTGCAGTTCTTCTGTTTATGATATGAGAGTTTGTGGGTGTTAAAAGTTTTTCTGTTTACTTTTTCATTTTTTCTGGGACTCATTGAGGTCTTTTGGGTTTTCTTCTTTCAGGTTTCATTATGATGACACCTCAGTTATTCATTAATTATAAGCTGAAGTCAGTTGCACATCTTCCATGGAGGATGCTCACGTACAAGGCTCTCAACACCTTCATTGATGACATCTTTGCCTTTGTCATCAAGATGCCCACCCTGTACAGACTGGGCTGTCTCAGAGATGGTATGTATTGTGTGCATTCTGGCTCTATTTCTTAGATCAACAATATTATTGTGGCTTCTTTTGCAAGCCGTGTGTCTTGTACTTCAATATTTATGGCACTGACATGTGTATGCACATCTTGCCCTCCTGGGGAAACAAGGAAAAGGCTTATTGTTTGGTCCATACCAGAGTCTGCCAGTGATTGTGTACCGAAAGAAAGGCAGGCAGCTGTGGGGTTTTTTTTAATGAAGGGATTATCGTAGCCGATATTCTACTCTGGAGAAGTGTTTTATTCACTCAAGCTCAGTTTGAGACGGAAGATTATGTGTGAGGGTACAACTGAGCCCTATACATGGGTCAAAATTTTCATATTGGGATGTGCTACCGTGCCTATCTGCCGGAGCTCCTGGGCGATATATTACTAACATCCATAAAATCATCAGAATCACTTTCTCCCTTTCTCACTCAGGGTAGTCCTCGTCATTACCAGCATCTAATTGAAAATGATCTTCTAAATAATCAATAACAACATCCTGTGTAGTAAACAGTTTTCCATGTGCATTTTGTCCCAGGCTGGGCGGATTGGAGATAAGGTCTGGCTCTCCGGTGTACTGGTGGCTAGGCTTACGGGCAGTTTCACATGCCATTGTTCTCCCGGTGGCAAGGGCTCAAAGGGTTAATTAAGTTTCGTTTGCCTGGTCGAGTCGGTGAAATAAGTCACCAGCGGTAATGAGCACATACTCAGATTAACCCTATCCATACACCCTGGGGTCATTTTGTACCCCCGGGGTTGTATTCTTCACATTTTAGAATACTTCTAGTACGAAGATCTCTTTGTAACTTTCAGTATTTCTCAAAAAATCATTTTGACAGACGGCTATGCAAAGCGAACGGATTGGATTAACGAGTAAATTCCTTCTTTGGAAAGTAGTGGCACAGTGTTCCCCACGTTATATGGATACGATAGTTAAACACGACGTACGGATAGGGTTAATAAAGTAATGATAAGGGATTTTCTTTGTAGGCTTGTTTAGTGACCTGTGAATGGAAATTAATTTTCCACCAGCTGGATTTGAATCAGTGTGACTTGACCTTGATTTCTCTGGCTGCCTCATAGATGTCATTTCCAGAATGTTCCTGTTTTTAGTTTTAAAGAATTTTATGTGATAGCAAGAAGCTCACCAAAAAATATGTTTGTTATATTGCAGATGTGATTTTCTTCATCTACCTCTACCAACGTTATATTTACTCTGTGGATCCAAAGAGGGTGAATGAGTTTGGAACAAGCCAAGAGATGATGGACAGCCCTGGCGAAGTGGCAGAGGAGGAGGGAGGGGGGGGAGAGCAGCAAGCGCTCACTGGGAAGGAAGAAGAGACAGAGGAGAATCAGGGAGAAGCAAAGGAGGGAAGTGAAAATGGGGACGTGAAAAAGACTGTGGAAGAGAAGAAAAATGACTGATTATGTGAGATGCGAGATTGTAATGGGCTGTCAGCTTTTTTTGTGCTTTATGGTCGGCATTGTAAATATATTTAATAGTTTTTGTTTCGTTGCAACGTGCAAAGCTGACCACAGTAAAACAGGTAATGAAAATGGCATTCTGGGCAAAATGTGGCGTACCTAGAAAGGCAGTTTTTTAAATGAAATTTGGACTTTTTTATCTTTTTTCTTTTCAAATAAAATTTCCAAAACTAAGTCTTTTGTTAAACAACATGGGCAGTGGAAATGAGTTTGATATTTGCTGACAAATGTTAGTTTATGCCCATGATTAATAATAGATAATAGGTATCTTTTGTATAGCGCAAAATCTGGCTCGACAGCAAGCTGTGCGCTTTACAATCTATATGTGAGGCAGCGTGGTGGAATCACGCTCTCGTCAATTTTTGGGCATGTAGAGTTATTGGTATCATCTTATAGCTTGTTCACTTGTCTTTATTTGGATGAAAACAATATACATTTATCTTGAATACAAGTCGAGATGTTTGCAAAAGAAGGAGGTGGGGGTCACCTGTTTTCAGAGGTAAAATTAGTGAGAAAATGGTCGAAAAAGATTAGTTGTTTCCTTAGCTTAAGAGTCTGTGGTAACTGAAAATTTACATTTTCATGCCTTTAATCAACGCTTTTCAGAAAAATCCACACAGAAATTAGTTCTTTAATGAGCATGAAAGGTGTTGAGCCAAAACTCAAAAATTTGATAAAAATTCACAAACCTGCCTGCAAATTTCTTCACTTTGATTATTTTGACGAGAGCCTGATTCCGCCACGCTGCCTCACATATTATGATTCACAGGTTTTATTTCAAGAGGGTTGGAGGAGGGCGGTGGTTGAGATTCATCTTTGATTTTGTTCTTTCAAATTTTGAATGATCACATGAACAGATGCTGCTTTTTGGCCAGAATGCATCCCCTGATATTTTCATTGATGTGACGGATGAGAGTTCTGATGTACAGACAAGGCTGTAGGAACACAGTGTGAGAATGATAACTTTGGTGAAATGTAACGAGAAGTGATGGCTTGAATATTGTTTGTCTATCAATATAATGAATTGTCCTTTTTAATGCTTAGGGCTTTGTCTTTTTATGTGGGTGTGGGGCTGGTAGTTGGGGAGAGTGTTTCGGGTCATTATTGAATGTAATGTCAGATTGGATTATTTTTATCTCTGAATTATTTAAAAGCTGAAAATGGAGTCTTGTTAGAAATTGTCCTGCTAATGATCATGTGGATGGTGTCGTTCGTTTCCATCAGGCTTCCTTTGCTCTCTGCAAAGATATTATTTCAGCTTTCAAGCAATAAAAGGGAAGGTGTTGGCGTGTGACTTTTCTGTAGCTTTGTTGAAATGGAAAATACTTAAGACATTTTAATTTTTTTCCTCCATTTTTGTGTGTGATGCAGATTTTTTGCTCCTTCAATTCTACTTCATGTAGGCTGTGTCCGTCATAACCACTTCTGGTTTTGGGACTTAGAATTATATGAACTTGCATAATGATGCATCTTTCTTTTGGTGGAAAGCCTGAAGTATGCCCTCCAGGTAGATACGAGGCTTTCTGTGCAAGTGCGACTTAAAATTGGAGAGTATTTCAGTATTGTTTTGTGGGTTTTTTGGTAGGTTAAGGGTGGTGAAAGTTCAATATTTGATCTTATGAACAGGTAAATGAACAGATGGCAAGGGTGGAAACTTGTTAAAAGTTGTTGACATCCTCTGGAATAAGTCCTCTTGGCTTTTTGCCCAGAGAGAAAACTATGTCCTCCTGCTTTGAAAAGTAAGACTTAGCATTTAATTGTAAAAGTTCCCAAGACCTTTCTATACTTGACAGTATTTTGGGGCGTCGAATTGCTGGAGCGAGAGATGGATGAAAACCAGCAGCAGTAAATAAATTCTGTTTTTATTTTGTTCCTGTTGAAAATGTGTTCCCTTATGGATGAACACACAACTGTTTGAGACCTGGCACACGAAGAAATATTCACAGACGAGATTATTGCAAGACTCAAGTGTTAACAACAGGTTGAGCACCAGAGAAAGAAAAGCTCTCATGCGAATGTTAGTTTGATTTGAACATTGTGATAACTTGTAGAACCATCGTGATGGTGAAACTCGTGATACATTCAGTCATGCCATCACTTTGTCGTGAGAGGAATTTTCCGTGTTGATTTTTTTTTCTGTATAATATGTGTCCTGTAATAGGGATATCCTTGAAGTGGTAAGGAAAAAAAAAAGAATCAAAGTAAATGTACTGATCATACCATCCCTTCTGGGATGTTGCCACAATAATAACCCTTGAATTGTTTATGCCGTTTTTATTATCTTTTATCTTTGTGTATTGTGTGTTGCGGATCAATCTTTTCTGAAAAAAAATGTTCCACTCTTTATCCATTGATTTTGTGCCCAGCTCTCATAAGGGTGCAAAAGGGGAATGTCGTACATGTTTTCTTAAAAAGGTTGTTTTTGTTCTGCTTTCCCTTTTGTTGGGGGGGGGGGGGGGGGGGGGGGGGTTTCTGTTTTAACACATTAATTCCTGGAATATATTGAAAAGTGAATTTCATTTATATTTTTTGTTTTCGTTTTGGAAGGTCAGATGAGTTTCAGTCATCAAAAGAATCTGTTTCTTTATGCCCCTGATGCTCTAACTATGGGAACAATGTTCATTACTTTATCTCAGACGTGCCAACTTTTTAGCTCTCCACGGCCTTCCTTTTATGAGCACAAGCTAAAGATTCATCTTCTCAGCAAAAGATTAATGGTTCTTAACTGGTGTTTTGGGTTCTGGTTTGGTTTTTGTTTTAATTCTTGGAGTGGAATAAGTGAACATTTTTCAGTTTTGTTTTTTAAAAAGAAAAATAAAGCACCTCAAATGGAGGAATGATATCATTCTTTGTGAATTTATGTTGCTGTGAACAAAGGTGTCCTCAATATTTTTATAGTCCCTGTTGCACATTCTTACTTTTAAATATTATATGATTCCTCATTCTCTTGCACTTTTCAGTTTTTCAAGTTTATCAGAAAGTTATATCTGGAATATTTTTTTGTATTTATTTATTTAGACTGAAGAAATCCGAATAGCCTGTGTTGATACCTTTGTTTCCATGTCCTTAACATGTGTCCTTATTTATAACATAATGTGTCTGATACTTTGCTACTACTATTTTTGCCTTCTCCTCAGTCTAAATACATTTTGTGTATACTGTTGATGATTTGCTGCCTTTTTGTGATCAAAATAGTCTCCCATGCTTTGTTATGGATGATCTGACAAACCTTACAGTAAACCATACTTCTTTCCAATCCCTGTGTAGTTCCTGAGTTTCATCTTGCTGTCTCCCAGTACTAAATGGCCATGTTTGTTAATTGCATGTTGTTGTTTTCTTTCTCAAGCAACTCCTGGGCAAAATAAAAGTGAAAAAAAATGGTTAAATATTTTTTATTTATGTTGGCTTTTAAAATGGAAAGGATCATACTTTGACTAATCAGGTTTAACAAGGTTCCACGTGGAAGGTTGCACTCAGAAGTTACACTCTTTTGACTGAAGAAGTAGACCGAAATAATACTAAAGAGTAAGTTTTGTTTCTGATTTGCAATTTGTCGCCTCAGAACTATTTTGTCCAAAGTGTACTTGGGTTAAGAGTGCACTTTAGAGAAAATAGTTCTGAGGCGACCAGTTGTGTTAAATGTATCAGGAGTACTTAGTTTTCTGAAGACTCATGTGCTTAAAAGTTGGTTTTCAGTAATAGAAATATTTTTTTAGGATGAAGTTTGTCAAACCTGCTCATTGCAACATCTCATTCTCACCTCATTTCAAGATTTTATAGTGCCATATCATACAATGTCATGGTCATAATTTCTGTTGTGTTTCAGTGTCACATTATTTAAGTTGAGGGATTGTTTTGAAGTAGCCTATATTCTTGTAAGCCAAGAGTAATACTGATAGGTCTACGTTTTTCCTAATCTTTCATTAGGCAATTGTGTGTCATTTTGATTTTTCCCATGTTATGACGGATATTTTGAGGATATGCCACTCTTCAACTCAAATGCAGAATGTCTATTTTGATTGCCTTTGCGTTCTGCTGTAATTCCTCTTTTGCTTAGGTTGTTAGATTTGTTTTATTAGTGTGTGTGAGAGGATTGCTGTCATTTACTGTGTTAGTCGTTGATAGCTGAGAGATACCCCCCAGTCATTTCCATTAGTTGAGTGAGTGAGTAACTGGTTGTACTGTAGCATTTTTCTAGCAGGTTTTTGCTTCTGTTTTATTTCATAGATGGACGGTGCTCTACTCATCATGAGCGGTTTGACACTGGTTATGCGAGTGAAGTTTTCATTTCCATAGAGCATAGAGACAAGTGTGGCAATAGAATCTTGAGTGTGATGATATTACTATTACTGCGAGAATCTGCAGAAATGTTGTAGACTGCTTTTTGTCTGTCATTTTCCTGTCTTGTATGTTGGAGTGACTGAGGACATATCACATAAAATGTGTTCACAGATGGATGGCTATTTTGATACATTGTATGGGCTCTTGTTTTGATAACTCATCTGCTCTTCATACGTTTGAGGAAAAATGTCACAATCTCGGTTTCATTTCTTGTGAAAGTTTGTTTTCCCCACAAACAGTCTTAATTTAAAAAGGATTGGATTAACATTTCTCTTGAAAATTGAACCTAAGAAAATATCAAACTTGAAAACATTTGGCTTAGACTTTTTGGGCTGCACTTTAGTGTGAGCTTAACATTTACAGAATGGAAAATGGAATTTCTTGCTTTTGTTTTGTTTGTGGGTGGGGAGGGGAGGGGGGGGATTCATTTAAATCCGTGGACTCCTATTAAAAATGTTATTTATTTGAAGTTGCAGTTTATAATAGGTTTTTTTTTCCCCTGCAGTAGTCTCCTATAGTATTATTTGTGCTGTCAATGACTGTCAATTGAATAAACAGAAATTGAGGACATGCATTCATCTGTTCCTTTTGTTTATTGGTTTTGTATTTGGCG